GATAAGTTCCCAGAAGTGGAATTGCTATTCAAAGAATATGAATAACTTACTAACGCTTGATCCATTGAGCTCTGTTGCTTTCCCAAAGGGCTGGTGCACAGCACCGCCTGTTGCAGTGTTCTTTAATAGCACCAGGCAGCGCTGAGCAGGATCCTGATGCTGGATGTTTATGGATAGGTGGGTATATGGCTTACAATGGAAAACAGCTTAACCTTAGGGGTTATTTAAATAGAAAAAACTAAGAAATGGCTAGGACCATACCTTTAGAAGGAAGAGGTTCCTAAACTTTAGCTTTTTTTTTTTTTTTTGAGACAGAGTCTCATTCTGTCATCTTGGGTAGAGTGCCGTGGCATCATAGCTCACAGCACCCTCAAACTCTTGAGTTTAAGCCATCCTCTTACCTCAGTGAATGTATTTGGGGGAACTACAGACACCCGCCACAATGTCCAGCTAGTTTTTCTATTTTTAATAGAGACGAGGGTCTCACTCTTGCTCAGGCTGGTCTCAAATTCCTGAGCTCAGGTGACCTATCTGCCTCAGCCTCCTAGAGTGCTAGGATGACAAGCGTGAGCCACCACTCCCAGCCTGCTTTTTTATTTTTTTTCATCTGTACAATTGACTTTGTCATTTCATGGGACTGTGTCCAATCAGTGAGCTATTCTATTGCACGTATTTGTTACAGGTGTAGGTAGAATCTCAGATGCTAGCTCATTGGAATGGAGAAAAGAGGAAAGTGCTGGACAGAAAGCATACCATGGACAGGACTCAGTTGGCTGCTCAGCAAGTTTTGCCTTATGGCAGCACGGTGGAAGCAGGAGTTGAAAACCTTACTGCATGCAGGGGCCTGGCAGGCATCGTACGTGGGTGAGGCAGCACCGGGATGGAGCGGAACTGGGTGTCAGGGACAGAGTGAAGAGAAAGGGCTGGCTTTGCCCAGAAGGAGACACTGCTCCTAAAAGGAGACTTTGCCACAAGGGAATGCAGCTAAGTGTCTTTTTTAGAACTTCCAATTTTTCAAGAGAATTTGGAAATTTGGATATTTAAGATAAATTTGCTGATATTTGCACGTGGCAACTAATGTAAGCATTTAGAAAACACTGCAGCTGTAACAGAAACTCCTTGAAGTGTGATTTGCTTGTTGCTGCCAGCTAGTGATTGCTCTTATTCGACTCTCACTGCAAGTCAGTGAAGAAGCCAAGGCTCAGAGATTATTGTTTAGCTGTTCGCCTACCCTCTAGGACAGCGGTTCTCAACCTGTGGGTTGCTACCCATAGGAGCTGTATTAACGGGCCTCGGCATTAGGAAGGGTGAGAACCACTGCTCTAGGATGTGAGCTTTGTGAAGGCAGGGCCATCGTCTGACTTCCCCACTGGTCATAGCCCAGCTTCTAGAATAGTTTCTGGTGTATATTGGACACTTGAGAAATATCTGTTGAATTAATGAGTGGTGAATGAATGAAAAGAGATTTTGTCCTATGCCAAACAATATCTACAGTTTAGTGCCATGTATTCTTCACATTTTACCTCACTTTAATCCATACATTAATTTTGTGGGAGTAATAATATTCCCATTTCATAGATGAGTAGACTGAGATTTAAGACATTGAGTAAGTTGCTTGAGTTCATTCATATATCTCATAAGATGCAGAGTCAGTACCAGAACTTTGGTTGCCCGTTCTTTTCATTATTCCACACTGCCATTCTGCCATAGTCAGAAATAGCCATATCGCTCCATCTTCTCAAATATTGGCATTTTGTTTTGTAGATCAATGCATCATGTCTGTCCGGAGCCAGGGTCTATGAACTTTCTCTGTGCAAGGCCAGATTATAAATACCTTGGGCTTTGTGAGCCACATGTTCTCTTGCAAGTACTCAACTGCCATTGTAGCGTGAAAGCAGCCAAAGGCACCTGTGAATAAATAGGTACAGATGTGTTCCAGTATAATTTTATTTACTAAAAGAGGTGGCAGCTAAATATTGCTTGAGGGCTGCAGTTTGCCAACCCTTGTCCTGGAAGATGGGCAAATTACCTTGTTAAAAAGGCTCCGTTAAGCTGCTAGCTCACTAGCAACTTATATGCTTTCTGAGTTCTGTGGCTTTGCCTAATATTTCATAGCCATGTTGGCTGTGTACACCTTTAACTACTCTGACATCGCCCTAGTGTGCTAGTAAATATTTAACAGATGGTTCTCTCTGGGGATGTGAAAACCTTCGATGTCTAGTTTGCCCATTTGTGTCTTCTGCAGTGTAAATACTTGCACCATGGCCAATTTCAGGACACCAGTATGACATCACTGGGCGAAACATGGATGATATGCCCTCAGAGCCAGCTGCAGCACACCACTGTCCGAGGAAATACTTTGGTCTAGATTACTTGGAAGTAACAGAAATCTCAACTAGTTCCAATAATAGGTGAAATGTATTATGTTACCTAACAGGCTAAATAGGTTGGCTCCAGAGTCGGTTAGTTCAGTAGCTCAGCAAAATCATTAGGGTCTCGGATTCTTTTCATCTTTCTGCTGTGCTGGCCTTGGCTTATTGACTTTGTCCTCAGTCTGGCTTCCTTCATGGTTAAGAGGTGGCTGCCATAGCTCCAGCTATCACATTCAGATTTGAAGTGTCTACAGGAAGAAGAGGGGCTTTTTTCTTTCCTGTGTGTTTTCTTTTTTTCTTTTTTAAGATTTATTGTTGGGGATTCATTGAGGGTACAAGAAACCAGGTTACACTGATTGCATTTGTTAGGTAAAGTCCCTCTTACAATCGTCTCTTGCCCCCCAAAGGTGTGGACCCCTTCCCTCCTTCCCTCTCTTTGCTCTTCCTTCCCCCACCACCTCCCTCCTTCTTTCTCTCTCTGCTCTCCCCTTCCCCCACCCCCACTGTGTCCTTAATTGTCATTAATTGTCCTCATATCAAAATTGAGTACATAGGATTCATGCTTCTCCATTCTTGTGATACTTTAAGAATAATGTGTTCCACTTCCATCCAGGTTAATACAAGACTGTAAAGTTTCCATTTTTTTTTAATGACTGAATAGTATTCCATGGTGTATGTATACCACAGCTTGTTAATCCATTCCTGGGTTGGTGGGCATTTAGGCTGTTTCCACATTTTGGCGATTGTAAATTGAGTTGCAATAAACAGTCTAGTGCAAGTGTCCTTACGATAAAAGGTTTTTTTCCTTCTAGATAGATGCCCAGTAATGGGATTTTGGGATCAAATGGGAGATCTAGGTTGAGTTCTTTGAGGGTTTTCCATAATTTCTTCTAAAAAGGTTGTATTAGTTTGCAGTCCCACCAGCAGTGTAAAAGTGTTCCCTTCTCTCCACATCCATGCCAGCATTTGCAGTTTTGAGATTTTGTGATGTAGGCCATTCTCACTGGGGTTAGATGGTATCTCAGGGTGGTTTTGATTTGCATTTCTCTAATAATTAGGGATGATAAGCATTTTTTCATATGTTTGTTCACCATTCATCTGTCTTCTTTAGAGAAGGTTCTATTCATGTCTCTTGCCCATTGATATATGGGATTGTTGGGTTTTTTCATGTGTATTAATTTGAGTTCTCTATAGATCCTAGTTATCAAGCTTTTGTCTGATTCAAAATAGGCAAATATCCTTTCCCATTGTGTCAGTTGTCTATTTGCTTTGGTTGTTCTCTCCTTAGCTGTACAGAAGCTTTTCAATTTAATTAAATCCCATTGGTTTATTTTTGTTGGAATTGCTATGGTAGTCTTCTTCATGAAATCTTTCCCCAGACCAATATCTTCCAGTGTTTTTCCTATGCTTTCTTTGAGGGTTTTTATTGTTTCATGCCTTAAATTTAAGTCCTTTATCTATCTTGAATGAATTTTTGTGAGTGGTGAAAAGTGTGGGTCCAGTTTCAGTCTTTTACGTGTGGATATCCAGTTCTCCCAGCACCATTTATTGAATAGGGGGTCTTTTCCCCAGTGTATGTTCTCATTTGGTTTATCAAAGATTAGGTGGTTGTAAGATGTTAGTTTCATTTCCTGGTTTTCTATTCGATTCCAAATGTCTATGTCTCTATTTTTGTGCCAGGACCATGCTGTCTTGACCACTATGGCTTTGTAGTACAGTCTAAAATCTGGTACGGTGATGCCCCCAGCTTTGTGTTTATTCCTGTTTTTTTTTTAAGCAGGCCCAGGCTGGGTTTGATCCCACCAGCCCCTGAGCATGTGGCCGGCACCCTAACCACTGACCTACTGGTGCCTAGCCAATTTGCTACCTTATTTAGATGATATTGAAATCACATGTTCTAGCTCCTGGGCTCTCTATTCTGTTTCACTTATTTGTCATTTTCTTCTTGTTTCCATTATATACTTAGAAAACTATAGCATTATTTAAAATGTCAAAGACGTTACTGTCAGATTCAGTCAGTATAATAATTAGGATATAATCTAAGGTATTGTAATAGATAGACTCTAAAATAGAAAGTCTCACGTAAGATAGAAACATTTTTATCTTTTGTGTAGCAGTATAGTGATGAGCGAAATCCAGAATGGGAGGGACAGTTCTTCACAGTCATTTGGGGTCTGGGATGCTCTTGGGTTGTAGCTCTGCTGGCCCGGAGGCCAATGTCTGGTCTGCCTCATCTCCATATCGGCGTTCCAGTCTGTTGGGAAGGGGGTGCTGGAAACCCTGGGAAAGTTTATTTACTGATGAACAGAGGTGGCCTGAGTTATTGCTTACATCCCTTTCCTCTAGATGAAACTGTGTTCCACACTTACATTCAAGAGAGGCCCAGGAAAATGGTGTCAAAAGAGGTGGATGTGGATTTGGCTAAAATTTGAGAGGCTCTATTATTAAAAAAAGAAAAAAGAAAGGAGATTGGCAGCCATGACAATGGATAGTCTTTGCTCCAGACTAGATTCATAGTTACAGATACTGTACTTAATAAGAAAGTGATAATTATTTTTTTACCAAATGAAAACAGTCAATCTTAGACATGGCAATCAAATACAAATACATCCTGATGTTTGGTTTCAGATGGCCAGTAACCCTTGTGCCAGGTAGCATTCTATGCCAACCTTGAAGACCACCAGGAAGTCACTGGACAGAAAACCCTTCCAAGATTATAACGTGGCTGTTAGAGCAACCTGGAAAAGAAGAAAAAAGCAAAACCATGGCAAAGGTAAACAGAGCTCGGCCGGCCTCCCCTCCAGATGGTGGCTGGGGCTGGATGATCGTGGCTGGCTGTTTCCTGGTCACCATCTGCACCCGGGCAGTCACCAGGTAGGTGGGATTTTCTTCTTAATTTATCAAGATGACCTGGATTATCTTCTTTTAAATCTGCCTTATTTTTTCCTGAACACATCAATGGGAAAATATGTGTATATGTGCTCTGTGTGTGTGTGTGTGTGTGTATGTGTTTGTGCACGCATGCTTCTCCTTTCACTGCTCAGATGTTTTTCTTGGCAAGGAATGGGATTTTATGACACTTAAAAGTTCCAGTGGCAGGCTGAGTGGCAGTAGCTGGTTAGAGTACCAGCCCCATACACAGGGGCTGGTGGGTTCGAACTCACCTGGGGCCTGCTAAACAAACAAACAAAAGGTCCTAGTGGTGGTCTCTTCTATAATATCTGATACTTTAACCTAGAGTATTAGACCAAATCCTGTGGCTATTATAGCCATTTGTTCTCATAAGCCAGCTCTAAAAGAGGTAGAAACATGTGATACATATTTCTGTCCTCTCTTCATCATCCACTTATCATTAACACGACCCTCTGTAGAACATTTATAAGTTGATCACCCAGGGGGCTGTAACAAAATGGTCAAGAAACAGAGGTGGTAAAAATTCAGTCAACTTAAGGAAGTGATCAATGAAGGAAGGTGGTCAACTATGGAGGTTCTACTGTAGTTGAAGCCTATATCATATATGAAATAACATGGGAAGTGCCCTGGCTTGTTCATTAGAGGTGGGAATGGTTCCATGGTACTATCATAATGAAATCACTTTTCTAAGGGTTTTAAAGAATGGCTAACTGCACACCCCAGAAGGTAAGTTAGCATAAGCTGCCATGGCTTCAGGGATGGGCAAGATGATTTCTGTAAGTCCATTTCTCCAGAATTTCTTTTATCTATCATCTTGATGACAATTAAGGTCAACTTTAATTATTAAAATTTTACAGTGGAAGCAGAGAGTTAATTGGATATGTGATTCATAGCTTATAAATCAAGAAAACGCTGTGGGCAAACTGAGAGCAAGAGATGATAATTATAATGGTGTGACATGCAGCTTTAAATCTAGGGATGAGGAAAAGGGTGTCAGGTAACAAGAGTATGATTTACAGTGGATTTGTGAGCATACCATGTGGAGTTAATCTTACACAGGGCTAGGGTCTACATTCATCCCAGAAAGGAAAATGTGGAAGATCAAAATCCTTGAAAACTCTCTGGCTTACTAGGTGCTCAGTCCTTAGAAGCCCACCACCTAGAATTTAAATACTTTTGCTTTATTTGCATTTTGGCTGTGGTGGTGAATTCTAGGTTGAAGGAGAGCAACAGCATAAAACAGGGATCCTCTCAGTCTCACTTGCTGACTTCTCCCTCTTACATTAGCCCAAGGACTTAGTGTAGGGTGTGCATAATGTGTGGACATTCGGGCCCATTCACCTCATTTATATTTGGAATAAATACATACTTAAAATCTGCAAGTGCTAGCTCTTTTCTCTACAAATGCTTTCATTCAAATAGAACTCTGTGTTCTGGGTGTGCAGATATTGTGGAGTTAAAAGGAATCTCCTTCATTTTAGTTCTTACGTGTAGAAGCTTCTGCCGTTCCCGAGAGGGAGAATTTCTGGGAGAACACTTTAGTAGGAGGGCTCATGCTGGCATCTTCTGGGTAGTAGTAGAGTTTGAGTTTCGTGATGGAGTTGTGCTCTTGTGGGGTTGTCTGTGGTGCTTCCGGTCAAGATAATTCTCTCAATCACATTGTCTCATGTGGGCCTTGGGATTGAGGCAGCATAGGTGAGGTCCTCCGCCATAGATTAGGGCAGCGAGGCTCAGAAAGGTTAAGTGGCTTGCCTTCAAAGGTTTGGTTAGTAGGACAGAGCTGGACTGGAATCCTGGTCTAGTTCACTTTTTATCTTGTTGATTTGTCATTGCTTACACACACTTATAATCCATTCACTCCTGACACATAGAAACCACTATTGCTCTTTCCAACACATAACTAAATAGCTTTCTATCCTGTTATTTCTCATACATACACACTTCTGCCCACCCCTCCCTACACGCCATACACACAAACACACATGCACACACACATGTGTGCACACCTGGCAGTTTATCCTCTAGAACTGTGGTCCCCAACCCCCAGGCTGCCATCCATGACCTGTTAGGAACCGGTTCACACGGCAGGAGGTGAGCAGTGGGCAAGAAGCTCCATCTGTATCTACAGCCACTCCCTATCACTCACATCACTGCTTGAGCTCTGCCTCCTGTCACATCAGTGGTGGCATCAGATTCTCATAAGAGCAGGAACCTGTAAATGGCACATGTGAGGGATCTAGGTGGCACACTCCTTGTGAGAATCTCATACCGCCCAGCTGTGGGAAAATTGTCTTCCATGAAACTGGTCCCTGGTGCCAAAAAGGGGACTGCTGGTTTAGAATAACCGTAGTATTACAAGACACAGTTTCTAAATGGGAAGCATTGTCTTAAGACAGGCTACCTTCTAACATCCAAGCAGCTGCCATGGTGCCAAGGGGACAGTTGCTTCCAAGTTCCTCTTACAGAGGCACGCTAACCTGTCTGTTTTGTTGGTACGTGGCCATGAGTGATGCTATCCTGAACTCATGTACAAACAACTGCACTTCAAGGCTGGGGGACATTGTGTTCGTGGATGGTTTTTTGAATGCTATCTTCTGGAACTGTGAAAATAACTTGGGTAGATGTTCATGGATAATTGAGGACCTACACCAGGGACACTAATTTACTGATGGCCTTTCATGCCCATTAGTGTTATACATGGTTTGTATTATTTGGCAGGACATCAGTTCTCAATTTTCTCTCAAAGACAACTGGGATGGCTGATATATCTCATGACTGCCTCCAAGGGCTGAAAGTCTTGCATCATTTTTTTTTAAGTTGTATCTTTGAGTTTTCAACTTAAATCCAATTGAAATTGATTCCACTAATCTAGTACATCCTATGCATGCATTGAGGATAAGGCTCTGTGCTAGCTGCTTCCAAAAATACAGAGATGTTAGGCTCAGGCATAAACAACTAAATATAATCAAAATGTGCTAAGTAACTGTATGTTATAATTTAGGTAAAAATAGAATGAAAAAGAAAACCTGGAGATGAATTCTGACCTAAGAGTTCAGGGCAGGTTTTCTAGAGAAGTTGTGCCTGCAGTAAGGTCTTGAAAAATAGGAACTATTTGGCAAAGCAGAAATGAAAGAGAAAGATGTTTCAAGCTGCACCAGGGCCACGCACCTCATCTGTTCCTCGCTTGGTGGTAATGGCGGGCAGCCTTCATTCCTGAACTGCCTGGGGTTTAGCCAGAAACCAGAAAAGAGTGTTGTGGCTGGCAGCAAAGGCCTATTATTAGAGGTTACTAGGAGATGCTGAGAAGAGGCTACTTGAGCAGAATTAGTTTAGAGAAGTGTGTGAGGATGTAGCCAGTGTCTGATTCTAAATGTCGCAAACTAGGAAGCAGCCAAGAAAGTTGGAGATGGAACAAGTAAAGCAGCCTCTAGGGTGATTCGTTCAGAACTTAAAAAATTAAGTGATACATTGAGATAGTTAACATTCGAACCCTATAGAAATATATCAAATAAAAATGATTTTTTCCTGTCGTTTCCTAAATCCCAATTTCACTGCCTAAAGAGAAACTCATCAATAGATGTTTAAGGTTGGTCCAAACATTAAAGAAAAACAACAAAACAAACCTTATGTTAATACATAAGTGCATATTCTATTTATTTATTATATCAATAGGATCATACTATACACACCATTTTGAGCTTTTTTTTTTTTTTTTTTCAGTTTTTGGCCAGGGCTGGGTTTGAACCCACCACCTCTGGCATATGGGGCCAGTGCTGTACTCCTTTGAGCCACAGGCACCACTCTTATTTTGAGCTTTTTAAAAAATTAATATTTCTTGGAAATCTTTGCCTATCAGCCAATATGGCTCTACCTCACTGAAAAACATCTGCTTAAAATTCCACCGTGTGGATGTGTCTATAATTACATAACATTTTTATGGAGAGACATTATGTTGTTTCTTGGGTTTTGTTATTACAAACAACGCTACAGTAATGACCTGGGCCATTTTAAAAACATTTCAGCTCCTGCCTCGTACTTGATAATGCTGCCTTCCATACAGCATTTCCATAGAGATGAAAGCTATGCAGGCTGTTCAGCAGTCATTACTATTTACTTACTCTTCTATTTGTGAATGTATGTTGATTACTTATTTTTTTTCTTTGACACATCTTATTACCAAATACTAAATTGTTAAGAATCCTATTTCATGTGTAATTGCATGACATTCTACTGATAAATTGACCACTTGAGTTGGAGTTGATACTGGAAAAGCAGCATTTGATTTGGAAATCTTTAAAAAAAAAACCAAACCCAGATCTGATGATCTGAGACTTATTTTCTCCAAGTTTTTTGGATCCACATTGACTTAGTGGCAATAAACGTTGAATCCTGCGGAACCGTGGCACTCCTCTGAGCTCTAAGAGCAGCTGAGTTCCTATAAATATAATAATTACTGACTTTACCTGAGCCCTTGCTTCGTTCTTGTTGGCATTCTTTTAGGCTTTTTCATTGATTAAATCATTTAATCCCCATAGCACACAGGTTTGAAAGCATATCCAAGGCTTAGTGGCTAGTAGGTGGTAGTAATTTTAACCACTCCACTCCACTGCTGAGTGGATCAACTCTTGCATTGACTTGGTGGATAACTTCATCAATTGGAGAAAAATCTTTACTAAATGCCACGTGTTGTCAGTACCCTGCTCTATGGGAGCCAGAGCAAAATTTTTACGGTGACGTGGCAGGACAGACAGCAAGAGAAAGTATCTTTGAGAATGTTATTTCACTCTGGTTGACACTCGGGTGATCCTTTGTTTTCACATTGTTATGAAGGTTGTCAGGAACTGTCTTCTAATGCAGCACCATCCACACTGACTGAGCTCATCATGTTTACCAAAGTGCTTCTTTTAGAGAGAAAACTGAGGCCCTAATAATACAAAGAAGCTTTATGAAAAACTCTCAGTTACCCAGTGTGAGAATCAGGGATCAGAATTCTGCTCTCCCGACATCTGTAATTGCACACATAGAACCAAGAACAACAAAAATAATCTTCAGAATGAGACGTGCATGTGGTCTGATTTCTTTAGGACTGTGCCTGTGTTTAGAAGGCAAAAGTCACGAAATTTTAACATTTGACAATTCTATGCTACTTTCCCCTTTGAGAACAGATATAAAGTGATAGAATATTTTCCCCGTATTTCATAGAAGTCACAATCCCTCAGAAGCACGTACATGGTCATTAAAAATGCTTACCTTGGACAAGCCTGCTTCCATGTTTAGACAAGAATCCCCGGTGTTGGCTTTGATATATTTTCACATACCTAAAGTTTGACTGATAGGACTTGTCAAGTCGGTTAAGAAAACCAGTCAGCAGAAAAGAAAACAACAAAGTAAGATTTTTAAAAAGTCCTAAGAGACAAACATAGTCAACAAATATAAAGTTCTTCATAATTACTTGATGATGAAAGTGATTATGATTTATAATTCCAAAATACCTTGTCATCCTATGGGAACTTTTCCCTTAGATAACCTGTGTTCCTCGTCTATAATAAATACATCTCCACCCTGTGCAGCCCCTTCTTATGATTCTTGCTCTTAGCCTACATCATACCCAAGGCCCAGTGGAAATGTTCCCTCCCCAGCACATGTTCCCATGGTCGCTGCCCCCCAGTCTTCCTCTTCCCTTTCTCATCCATAGTTCTTGAAGTTGCTACTCAACCACTTTCATTTTCTTATCTTTTAGTCACTTCCTCTACCAACCTCCAGCAGGTTTTGGTTCAAAAGGAAAGCCTGGTTTTTCAGGCCTGTTAGACCCTTCTTTCTCCCTATCCCCACATGTACTCAGTCACAGAAGTAACACACTCATGCTGTACTCGCTTTGAGTCTTCCTCAACTCCCTTGAATCATGGATCACACTTACTCTGTACTCACTCTGAGTCTTACTGAACTCCCTTGAATCATGGATCCACCAGAATTCGTGTCTTGTACTCCTAGGACATCTCTGGTGCTACAGGGGACAGGGCAGCACAGAACTACAGATGCATATCAAGGGTGTCTCTTCTGTTACGGTGCCGTAGAGATTAATTTATCTCACACATTCAGAGATAAATTTAATACCAATTTGAAGTCAGTGGTAGCTGAGCACTAAATCAAGTTTCATGCTTCTGCGTGCCAGGCCCTAAGCCTCTAGGCAGGTTGCATTGCCACAAAGCTGGCCCTGCCTAACAGGCTGTCCTGATTACATCTGGTTCTTTTTCTTCTTCTCCAAGCCTTCCACCACCCACCTTCACACCTAGCAGCAATCGGAAAGAAGAGGGAGAGTGAAAATAACAGGTTGCTGTGGGCTGCTGAAGCACGATGAGTTGGAATTTAGCCCTGTCCAAAAAGATCGATAACCTCTCAGCTCATACCCAGGCCAGAGGCCGGATACTTTCCCTGGTATCACCAGGCTCTAAAAGCTGCCTGCCTTGAGTTAGGAAACAAAGCTAGTCTGTATGAAGCTCTTCCAAGTTGTACCCTGATACAAAACTATTGCTTCTGGTTCTTGAATGTCTTTTTCCCTAAGTAATTAACTGTTTTTCAACATAAATATTTCCCTCTCTTTCTCTGTACACATAGGCGTACACGCACACACACATTAAGAAATCATGTTCTTTATAAAATAATTCAAGATGCAGAATAAAGACAATAAAGACAAAAATGATCACTTATCACCATTTGCATGTATAGTGATTGGGTACATTTTGGTATATATGCTTTCAGGCTTTTTCTATACATATAAAAATAAGTGTTTTTATAAAAATAAGTTTTTACTCTGAAATATTTTGTAACTTACTTTTTTACTTAACATTACATTGTTAATTTGTTTCCATTGAAAAGTACAAACCAACATCCTTTTTTAAACTTAGTCTCTCATTTTATGAATATACCATAATTTATACAACAAGTTCTTTATTGACGAACAGTTAGATTGGTTACAATATTTGGCTATTATAGTTTATTAGAATATATCCTTTTATATATCTATTATTATTATTATCTGAGTATTACCTTTGTATAAATCCTAGAAGTAAAATTGCTAGGTGATGTATAACTCTATTGTCAAATTTTAATTTGTTTAACAACCTTTTAAAAGTTATAGATGTTAGCAGAATACTAAGATGAATAAGAATCCATGTTCTTGGCTTGGCGCCTACAGCTCAAGTGGCTAAGGCGCCAGCCACATCCAACTAAGGTGGCAGGTTCGAATCCAGCCTGGGCCGCCAAACAACAATGATGGCTGCAACCAAAAAATAGCCAGGGGTTGCGGCGGGCGCCTGTGGTCCCAGCTACTTGGGAGACAGAGGCAGGAGACTCACTTGAGCCCGGGAGTTGGAGGTTGCTGTGAACTGTGATGCCACGGCACTCTACCCATGGGGACAGCTTGAGGCTCTGTCTCAAAAAAAAAAAAGAATCCATGTTCTTGACCTTTCTTTTCCATAAAACCTTCCCTGGAGTAATGCTCTTCACATCTACTTGGCTTTAGTAGCCTCTTGTTCTTGTTCTCCAGAATAGCACAACTATTCAACTTCTAATTTCCCATTTATTATATGGTCCAACAATTGAAACTCTTGGAGAATAGAACAGCTAATTGAACCAAAACTTCTAAGTTCAGGTTTAAATCCATATTTATTTGCTTTTTTGTATAAAATGCCTGCATTCTATTTTTCAGATGTATCTCAATTTTTTTTGTGGAGTTCCAGACGTACTTCGCTCAGGATTATGCACAGACAGCATGGATCCATTCCATCATAGACTGTGTGACCATGCTGTGTGGTAAGTATCACTGCCCAGCATAGATAACTGCTGGCTACTCTTGAACGGTACATGACAGTGACCTTCACTGACTTTGGTTACTAGTGTTTCTAAGCAGAAGGACTATGTTAAAAATGGCTAACAATATGTATAAAGGGAAAAATCAATCTTAGCTTTGGCCAAAGACGACCAGACTTTCTCTTGGAATGAATGGTTTTAGCTGATGTCAACGCTGAACATTGCAGAACTTGTCCTGATTTTGGAGGCAGTTTACAGTATATGCTGGGCTTCTCTCTTCCAAATGCTGTGGCCTTCTCACAGTCATGTGAGCAGTCAGTGGATAGCTCCACAAGCCATCGCTATGTGATCTCCTGGAATGATGCCCCAGTGTTGCATCACATCTCAAGTCTTGGTTTGTAGCCTGTTTCCTTCCCAGAGGGTTCAAAATTTGGTTCATAGATTTCATCTTCGTCATGCATAAATCTCTGTGCATAAGAAAGTATTGGGGAAGGATAGATTGTGTCATCATGAGCTAAACATAGTGACTATGGCTATACCTCATTCAAGAAATATTATATAGGCTGTTCCAGAAATTCATTGAAACTAACATTCCATCTATATACTAGAGGACAATAAAGTTATTACATTGGTGCCTGAGAGAATGTCTAAGATTGGATCAAATTGTCTACAGCCAGGCCCACTTAGTCCTTTCTTTTCAGTGAGACCTGAGTATTTTAGAAAACTTTTATCTTTTCAAGTCTTGTCTCAGGGCAAAAGATGAATGCTATCCATGTGATTCAGTAATTCATAATAACTTTATCTGATTTCATTCTAGGGACTAAGACATTTATATTTTAAAAATCAGGAATCAGTTGAATTGTGCTGAAATATATTTCCTTGGTTGGAATTTAAAAAACTCTAGGACTAAAAGCAGGTTTTATAAGATAGATAAGTAGACTCTCTGAACCAATAAGAAGGTCTTAAAAAAAATGCCATATCTGGGTTTTATAGCTTGTCTTTTTTTTTTAAACTAGTAAAATGATTACTTGATTATCAGGGTCACATTATTAGTCACAGCCTTTGTATCAGCACACCAAGAAATGTGTTTCTCTTTTATGGTGAATAAAGGTGACTCATCTCCCTCACTGGCATCTTTTGGAGAATATTCATAATCTCCTGAAGAGGAGTAAATGGTCTTAGGTGACCAGCATGTTCGCAATTACCATGTGAGGCTTTGAGCAAGATCATGTCTGAAGCAGCATATTTAAATTCTATGCAAGAATGAGAGGTCTCTTGTACCCAGTTACCATATACCCAACATGATCACCCGGTAACGTGAAATCAGAACATTAGGGTTCAGAGCCCGGACAAGAGGCTGCAAAACCACATCTGTGACACTACCTGGGAACGGATCTGCTCTGTGATGAACAGAAAAATGAACATTGGAGTCAGCCCCCAGTTTCAACCTGATCAATACACAATCATCTACAGATACCCAGAGAATCAGCTCTGCTAATCTTTTTACTAGGAGTACTGGTATTGAATTGTTCCCTAGAAAGAAATCCACATGCCTTTCATCACTCCTGTTATTAGTCTGGGAGACTCAAAGAGTAAAAGGGCAAAATAACCTCAGTCTCAGAGTCAAGGGCCATGAGCTGTACTTCTTGGTGGCCTTGGGCATGCCATGCCCCTTTGAAGTTCAGTTCCTTATGGGCCTCTTACAGGTTTAATGAATATTCTATAAGCCTGGAGGTTGACATGGGTCTACACTCTGTGTGATAATAAACAAGTCACTTCCTCTCTTTGGCCCTCTGTTTCCAAAGCCGTAGAATTAGTGGAGTGGACTGGATGCTTTAAAGCTCAATTATTTTCTGTTCTGCCAGTGCAACATCACAGCTTTCACGATGCCTTCAAGGCCTTTCTGTTGAACTTATTTATCGTTGTTTTTGAAGCTCCACTTGGGAGTGTTGTGAGTAACCACTTATCCTGCCAAGTGGGAATCATGCTGGGTGGCTTGCTTGCATCTACTGGTCTCATCCTGGGCTCATTTGCCACCAGTCTGAAGCATCTCTACCTCACTCTGGGCGTTCTTACAGGTAAGGGCACTTTGTACCTTTGTCCATTTGTCTTGCTTACACCATTCTGGGGCTGCCAAGTGCATCAGTAGAGCAGTGATTTAAAGAATATTCATTTTGTTGGATGGATAATTTAGCTGACCTAGCATATGTCTACCTACCTCACAGTTAAACAGAGCTAGAAATGGGATTGCACTAACCTAATGAAAATAGATCACCACTTTAATTCTGCTGTAGGATAAAAGTAATTTTTGCTTTTTCTTTGGTGTTAGTGTATGGTAAGATTCTGTATTCAGAAGAAACAAGATATTACTCAGGGTGACATAAACTTTCAGTACTGGTCATTCTCCCAAAATCTTTGCCAAAACATTAGAATACTATCTATGGTTAAACAGAGCTGCCCTTGCTTTATAATGAATATCATTGTGCAATGAATTTGAGTTTTCAATTTAAAAAAGAAAGCCCCTGTGAATGTTCTTATATTACACTAGGGGTTCTCAAACTTTTTAAACAGGGGGCCAGTTCACTGTCTCTCAGGCCGTTGCAGTCTGGAGGGCCAGACTGTGGGCCCCGGGACAAGTCAGCTGCTAAGCAGGACAGACAGCAGCGGCAAAAACACCTGGCAGGCCAGATAAATGTCCTAGGCAGGCTGCATGTGGCCTGTGGGCCATAGTTTGAGGACGCCTGTATTACACACTCTCTCTTAATGCTGTAGCAGTATTGCTTTAGTGAATCATAATGAATCCTATAGAAAGTGAAGCAACAGATGTGAATTCCATAAATCACGCTTAAAGGGACTGCATAGGATCAAGATGGGGTTGGTTGGTGGGTCTAGAATAGCAGTTTGCCCATCACTTAGAGGGGTGTGGGGATTAGCACCAACTCCTCTCTGGGCTTTGTGCCACTGGGGTAGTGTGAATCAGGCCCGTAAAGGATGTAACCTCATAGTGAGGCCATAAATATGGCTCTTTCAGCTAAAGAAGGTGCATCTGCTCCTAGTAACCCATAAGGCCTGACTGCTTTGGTGACTAGTGGTCCCAGTTTACCAGGGAACATTCTAGCTTTAGCACTGTAATTCCCACACATTCAGAAACCTACCAGTCAACTCCGGATAGCTGGCCACCCTGCAGATGGAAACAGGAGCTGACAACAGTTCTCCCTTGTCTTTTTCTGACATTGTAGTTGCCAGGAAATCCAGCCCTTCAGATTTTCTTGACTTAAAAAGTAATAGAAGCTAAAGAACTTTAAAAAGATTTCTGGACTATCAACACTTTTCTGCTGACCTTAAGGGAGGTTTCCATGCTATATTCATGTATAAAGATGGCATGATGTTTTCCAACTACGTGAAATTACTCTGAAACTTTTATGAAGTTATACATGCGATTTCAATCCCAATTCCAGAGTGGTATAGATTACCAGGGTTGAGTCTTTATAGGCGGTGAAGAGTTAGGAAAAAAAAGAGATAGGGCAATTATCTGGATAATTTAGGTAAAAGAAAAAGAAGAGGAGGGATAAGTTTCTTTAGTTAGCATTATACAGATATTCTATTTAGTTCCAAGTTAATTTGTATAATAATTTTTACATTCTTCATTTAACTTTGTTGAAGAAATAAGATTTTCTTAAGGGTGTTCTTCCTGAGAAGAAAGTCATATCTGTTCTACATTTTCCAAATTGTGAATGACTGGTGAGGGAAAACTCATTTTCAGCTTGATGTTGGAAAAAGCTTTAAAAGGGCTTAAGAAAGACAGATTCTCTTTAATCCAGATTGTTTTATTCTGAGATACTTTCTTTCACTGGCTGTGCATGGTGTACCAGCACTCACAGGGCTCTCTTTATCCGCAGGTCTTGGATTTGCACTTTGTTACTCTCCAGCTATTGCCATGGTTGGCAAGTATTTCAGCAAACGGAAAGCCCTTGCTTATGGGATCGCCATGTCGGGAAGTGGTATTGGCACCTTCATCCTGGCTCCTGTGGTTCAGCTCCTTATTGAGCAGTTCTCCTGGAGGGGAGCATTACTCATTCTTGGGGGCTTCGTTTTGAATCTCTGTGTTTGTGGTGCCTTGATGCGGCCAATTATTCTGAAAGAGGACCGGATGACACCAGAGCAGAAGCATGCCTGTACAACTCAGAGAGAAGACTTTGAGCGGGCTTCTCCCTATTCACCTCTGACCAAAAACTGGACCCAGACTTACATCTGCTGCTCTTTGCAGCAGGAGTACAGTTTTCTCCTGATGTCAGACTTTGTTGTGCTAGCCATCTCTGTTCTGTTTATGGCTTACGGCTGCAGCCCTCTCTTTGTGTACTTGGTGCCTTATGCTTTGAGTGTTGGAGTGAGTCACCAGCAAGCTGCTTTTCTTATGTCCATTCTGGGGGTGATTGACATTATTGGCAATATCACATTTGGATGGCTGACCGACAGAAGGTAAAACCCACGAACCTACAATCAGCTCTCTCCCCAGGGACTTTAAGTTTTGAATTTCTCCTCATTCCCTTTCCCCATGGACTGCCTACGTCTGAATAATGTTGACAAGTCCACAACATCAGAAGGCAGCTCCCTTGCTGGTTCTCCTAGATCAAGAGTTGGCAAACCTTTCTGTAAGAGGACAGGAGGGAGACATTTTTTGCCATTGTGATCTTACAACTACCTGACTCTGCTGTTGCAGCCCCCAAAGCAGCCATAGATAATATGTAAACAAATCAGAGTGGTCATGTTCTAAGAAGTTGTTATTTATCCACACGGAAATTTGAATTTCTCTTATAGTTTTTATGTGTCACAAAATATTGTTCTTTTGATTATTTATCTCAACCATTTTAAAGTAGAAAAATAATTCTTAGGTCATAGGTAGTACAAAAACAGGTGATGGGCTCAATTTGGCCACAGTTTGCCAATCCTTGTTGTAGTCAGTTTAGGATGGTGGGTTTGTCTAAGTTACAGACGTCTAGGGTAACCACAAGTTCTGGTGATCCATTTAATTCCATCCAGAGTTGAGTTAGTCTTCAGGCAAGACAATCTCTGGCTGAGTATTGTGGTTTGGGTTTTGGCTGAACCACCCTAGAGACTGCCTGGCAGTGGGAGGAGGAGCAGGACCCAGTCCAGGCAGGAGGAAGAGGTGCAGCAGTAACACGGCAGTCACACATTATGTCCATCAGACACTTATGTTTGGCAGTACAAATAGCAAGTACTTTCATATTAATTGTGGGCTTAGAAACCAAAGTTATAAGAAATCTACCCAGAAGTTTCTTCATTAAATGCTCACCTGTTTAGACTGTATAGTACAAGCTACTCAGAATCTCCTAAATGGTGGATGCAAGCTATGACCTGTTGGAAGAAGAGATCTGTTATCAAGTAGCATCTCTCAAATTATGTCACAGGTCATTAGTCAGGATTCAACTGCCACTCTCCTGTGTGATGGATGTAATATTTAAGATCAATTCCACATTTTTTTTTTTTGAGACAGAGTCTCACTATGTTGCCCTCTAGAGCGCTGTGGCATCACAGCTCACAGCAACCTCAAACTCTTGGGCTTAAGTGATTCTCTTGCCTCAGCCTCCCAAGTAGCTGGGACTATAGGCACCTGCCACCAATGCCCTGCTATTTTTTTGTTATTGTTGTCATTGTTGTTTAGCAGGCCCAGGCCAGGTTCGAACTCGTCAGCCCTGGTGTATGTGGCCGGTGCCCTAACCACTGAGCTATGGGCACTGACTCTCAATTTCACATTTTTAATGATTAAGGAAGAAGGAGGAGAGCAAGGGATATCTGTCTTCACAATATAACCTGGCAAGAAGCGGCAGTGTGTAGACACACGGGAAGCATTACTGGCCAGGCATACAAGACCTGAGTTCCTGTGCCAGCTCTGTCCCTTATTAACCCTATGACCTATGGAAAGTCACCTAACTCTCAGATCCTTAAGGGTTGTAATCTATAAAATGGGCAAGTGCAATATTTGCCTATTGACCTCATACCATTTTGCAAAGTTCAAATGAGCCTGTAGATAGAAAAATGTTTGTAAAGGACAAATTGCTGGACCTGACATTATGCAGAATCTTTGAAATAATTGGTATCATGAAGGGGTTTGGAGTCACAGAAGGAAAATGTAATGGAAGTATCACAGGAGAAGTCTTGAAATCAGACTTAGTTCAAGACCTTCACCATACCCAGTTAATCCTTCACATTCCAGCTTCCCCTTTGTAATAATCACTCAGGTTCTTGAGCATCTACGAGGTGCCACACACCAATGGATAACAAAACTGGAAGCATCTAGTATGGTTGGGTGCTAGAAAGTATTAGTCTCCCGGCACTCTGCATGTTATCTCCAACTCTCTTTAGAATAGCCCTGTGGTGAGATAGAGAACCTTCCCATTTTATAGCTAAAGAAACTGAAGATAGAGTCAGGCAGTTCATGGGTGAAAGAACTGGTCTTATTTCCCTATTTTTCTAGTTTTAGGGCACATATTCCCCATATTCTTTCTACTATACAATGCTTCCTAGGAAGGTGAATTCGTACCGTCACATAAAAGGTAGGAAGACAACATAGATAAAACCTGGTAGGGAGGCCATCGCTATGAGTCCTTGCAATGCTTACTGCTCCATGGCCATGATGCTACAGCTCTTTCACAGAACCTTAGTGCGTCCTCACTCATTTTTGTTCCTCACATCCACAGGTGTCTGAAGAATTACCGGTATGTTTGCTACCTCTTTGCTGTGGGCCTGGATGGGCTCTGCTATCTCTGCCTCCCAATGCTGCAGAGTCTCCCACTGCTTGTGCCTTTCTCTTGTACCTTTGGCTACTTTGATGGTGCCTATGTGACCCTGATCCCAGTAGTGACTGCGGAGATGGTGGGGACCTCCTCTTTGTCGTCCGCACTCGGGGTGGTATACTTCCTTCATGCAGTGCCGTACTTGGTGAGCCCACCCATCGCAGGTACGTCTCCAGAGAGAACCCCCAATCACCTCTTTGTCAGATTGTCTTGAAAACACTGCACCCACACTAGACTGGCCAGAGGGCTGAGAAAAAGAGTGAAAGAGAACAGGGGTGCAATAGCCACCCCAAACCACCTCATGTTATAGTCTTCTTCCAATCAAGTGGGAGCCTTGGCCTCCCTGGAAAGAAAAAGTCCCACATTAGGTTCTGGATTCCTTTCCATGCTAATGATGGGAGCAGTTGGCTTAGACTTGCCAGTTAGGAGGGCACATTCAGAGGGAGGTCTGGCTGGAGTACAGGATTTCAGCAGGGGGCAGTGGGTGGTGAGGCTCGAATGGTAAGCACCAGGGTCATAGTGGAATGTTTTGAGTGCCACTCCAAGGAGCTGGGCTCTGTTTAGAAACTGGAGAGTATTCAAGTTTGTGTGCAAAGGGGTAAAACAGTAAAGAGTGTATTTTAGAAAATATAATGTAGCAATTGATGTAGTAATCCAAGGGAGAGAGAGTTAGGATTCCATGCTAATATTAATAGTTTTAGGAGCAAAAAGCCCCCAAGTGGGGCTGCTGCAGCAAAAAATGGAAATGAGGCTCGGCGCCTATAGCTCAACCGGCTAGGGCGCCAGCCACAGACACCTAAGGTGGCGGGTTCGAATCCCCAGCCCGGACCTGCCAAACAACAATGACGGCTGCAACCAAAAAATAGCCGGGCGTTGTGGTGGGCGCCTGTGGTCCCAGCTACTTGGGAGGCGGAGGCAGGAGACTCGCTTGAGCCCAGGAGTTGGAGGTTGCTGTGAGCTGTAATGCCACGGCACTCTACCCAGGGGGACAGCTTGAGGCTCTGTCTCAAAAAAAAAAAAAAAATGGAAATGAACTCTGGGGACAAGGAGGAGATTTTAAAAAAAAAAAAATCAATTGAATTTAGCATAGGAGGGCGAAAGAGAGAAAGAAGTCAAAGATGACTGCGTAAACAATGTCATGGTTGAAAAAGATGAGGCAATAGAGAAACTGACTTTGCCTGAAAAATAATGAATTTAATGTTTAGATATATTTAGATATCTGAAATACTCAGGTGAAAATGCTCAGTAGAGCTGTGTATGAATGATGTCTGAGGGCGGCGCCTCAGTAGAATGATGTCTGAGGGCGGCGCCTGTGGTTCAAGTGGGTAGGGTGCCAGCCCCATATACTGAGGGTGGTGGGTTCCAACCCAGCCCTGGCCAAACTGCAACAAAAAAGTAGCCAGGCCCATATACTGAGGGTGGCAGGTTCGAACCCGGTCCTGGCTAAACTGCAACAAAAAAATAGCTGGGCTTTGTGGCAGGCACCTGCAGTCCCAGCTACTTGGGAGGCTAAGGCAAGAGAATCGCCTAAGCCCAGGAGTTGGAGGTTGTTATGAGTTGTGACGCCACGGACTCTACTGAGGGCAATAAAGTGAGACTCTCTCTAAAAACAAAGAAGAATGATGTCTGAGCTTTAGAAGAAGGCCATATTTGGATATATAGATTTGGGAATCATCAGATAAAGCATCTAGAATGTTTTAAAAACTGTAAAATGATATAGAAATTTAAAGCATGATTAAATAAATAATTTGACAAATATTTATTCCATGCATTAACCAAGTAATTCAACCAATTTATTGCTTGTGTAACTAGCATTTTGCTTGGAGGCCTGGAGAGATAGCAGCAAACAGGTCAGAACCTGTTTCTCCTTCCTGAAGCATGTGGTCTAGACCAGTGTCTTTCCAGAGTGAGATCCTGGGACCACCTGCATCAAAATCCCCTAGGGCCCTAGTTAAAATGCAGGTTCATTTACATTCCCACTGGTGATATGAATCTTTGGGAGGGCGAGTTTTCCAAAAATCTACATTTTCATCTAGTTTTCTCTGATACACATGCACAGTAAATATTGAGAATAACTAGTCTAGATGATTACCTGCCTAAATTTAAAAAACTAGAAGCATGAACCAGGTCTTTGCAGACAGTGAAAAGAGAAATGGGCTGGCCATTTGCCTGGAAAATAAAAAGGGAATTTTTGAAGAGAGCAGGGCTTCTGCTTAGCTATTACTGTGAATAGATACATTCGGGCTGTTTCCCAAACCCAGAAGTTTGGGGCTAGGGAAGAAGCAGCCAACTAGGGGAAATAGTGGCTGCTTAACTGTGGCAGATGAAAAGTCCTGGTTAGTTCAAGTTCCATGGTACAGGACTTTAAGGTTAGTGCTTCATTTTTGAGACCTGCTCCCCAAATGTTCCCGCATCCTCCCTCCATAGCCAATTTTACTTTTCATCAGCTTTGAGGAGCAGTGTTATTCTGTTAAGGGTCACAGGACACAAATGAAATTGGGGTGCCTGGATCCTTTGTTGGTGTATGGCCTTCTTTTGGCAAATCAGAAATTATACTCATTACTAAGAATTAGAGGATGTGAGTTCTTACTACGATACTTCTCTTTTTTATTTACCTTTCAAATGACAGCTCTCTACTCAGTCTCTTCTTTTTGGTGCTACATAAATGCACAAGTAAATAACACAGGAACTAAAATATGTGAGAGTAATTTTAATTCCAGAAAACCTTGTGGGGCTTATAATAATTTGAAGCAGGTAAAAGGAAAAATCGTATACTTCTTAGTTGGTTTTCTTGGCATATAAATAAAGTTTGAAGGATTTTTTAAAAAAAGCCTTTAGTTAATCATAAAGTAATTGCCTTCCCAGGTATTCTAATTTTACCCCAATGGTCTGATCATCTGGTCCCGATTGTGCTTATTATAAGCCTTCATTTTCCTCAAAATTTAGAGCAGGGATAGATATTGAGATTAATTTGTTGCAAGAAGAGATAAAGAAAAAAATGGTTATAGAAATATGCCTTCAGAAGTGTGCATTTGCAACTTCTAAACCGGGACAAAGGTCTGATTTTCCAACTGGATGTATGACGACTGAATTTAATTGAAAATTTGGACAGCATTCTGAAGCATGTCATGCTATTCAAGATAGTATATGAATGCTGGGAATATTACTAGCATTTTGCCCGATTACGTTCACTTAACACCCTTGGTAAATTATCCCAACTTCAATAGATTTTGTTTATTTACCAGATTTCATGGGGTTAATAATAGCAAATATTTATTGTGTGATTACCAAGTACATGATACTCTTCCAAGCCCTTTAGATAATACTAATCATCATCAATTCATTTTAGAAGTTTCTCTGGAAAATGGAATGTATTTTTCAGTTGCTGTGTGATATTTTTGGGCGATCTGCTTTTTGTCTTAAAATGATAATGGTGGTGCTAGCTATCTATTGTTGTTATCCTTACCAATTACTAGGTTTGAGAGTGGGTGAGTGACAGAATTTTCAACTCAACAACATGATTTTGCTGTTGTTTGTTACAGGGTGGCTGGTAGATACAACTGGCAGCTACACGGCAGCGTTCCTTCTCTGTGGATTTTCAATGATATTTAGTTCTGTGCTGCTTGGCTTTGCTAGACTTGTAAAGAGGATGAAAACAACCCAGCTGCAGTTCCTTGCCAAAGAATCTGACCCCAAGCTGCAGTTGTGGACCAATGGATCAGTGGCTTATTCTGTAACAAGAGAATTAGACCAGAAAGACGGGGAATCTATGGCTACAGCAGTGCCTGGTTACCACCCCACCTGACCAAGGGCCTTGAGCCTGGGAATCTTCAGAGTTCGTCCAAATGGGGCCACATGATTGCTCATGTTTCGGAAGCATTTGATTTTGGCAGAGCATTGCCTTCCAAGGACATTATTACTATTGTTTTATTAACATATTTATAAAGGGAAAATAGCGAATAATAAAGAAAGGTGGCCTAGCCCAGAGTTTGCTCATTTGGGGTTTGTACTCAGAATTGAACTTACATCTTTTGGGCAATGAGCATTGCTCCATGGGGAATGTAAGGATACCACTGATGTAATCAGCTGTAATTGAGGTGTAATTTCCAGGCATAACTAAACCAGATGACACTGGGCAGCAGCTTTGTCCCAAAGTCTCTGTCCCTACACACCCCCCATGCCCCCAGTTAGAAGGTGAATGGAAACACTGACATGTAGGTTTGCTTACATGGGTCATTATGAAAGTTTTGAGATACACAAAAATTCAGAAATGTAGTATCCACACGGATGGAAACGAATGAAGCCCTCCCAGCAACACTAATCAGCCAGCAAAATTTGCACAGATGAATGAGAAAGGACAATGTCAACTGTGTTGCTTGGAAAGGAAAAAATGGCCCATAACACAGTCTATCTCAAAACTTTGGTAGTGAACTGTGTACCTTTTGTTTTTTGGGGGGCAGGGGCAGTGGTCAGCTTGGGTATGACCCTGGAGAGTGAAGATGTAAAGTCTTTTTCATAATGGACTTCCTCATTAGGGTTTTGGGTGGGGTTGTTAAGGAATATTTGAGATTCCTCAAAAGCTGAGAATTAATATAGAAAGAAAGAGATTATCTCCCCTTACTCCCACCATTAGTATTCCAGCCAATCCATGCCTCTCCCAATGGGTAGGTACCACTTTAGGAATCCAAAGAATCATGGAGTGCCATAGTTGGAATAGATCTTAAAGGGTGACTGGTAAGAACTTCTCTTTGAAATTGTTCACTGGAGGCTGGGTGCGTGTACCTCAAGTGCTTAGGGAGCCAGCCACATATACTGGAACTGGTAGGTTCGAATCCAGCCCGGGCCTACCAAACAACAATAACAACGATAACCAAAAAATAGCCGGGCACTGTGGCGGGCGCCTGTAGTCCCAGCTACTTGGGAAGCTGAGGCAAGAGAATTGCTTAAGCCCAAGAGTTTGAGGTTGCTGTGAGCTGTGACACCATGGCACTCTACTGAGGGCAACATAGTGAGACTCTGTCTCAAAAAAAAAAAAAAAGAAAAAGAAAAAAAGAAACAAGAAATTGTCCGCTGGAAACTGAAAGCTCCTTACATAAAACTATGTCCCTGGTGCTTACCCGTTAACAATACTATTACATACCATGCTCACTTTCAATTTAGCAAACATATCTGGTCACAAGGACAACCTCTTAATCAATGTTGAAATGTTAACAATAATACAGTTTCCTTTGGTTTTACTTCAGAAAGAAAGCTCTGATTTAAACTGTAGACACATTCATATCAGGAACAGAAAAATGTTGGCGGTATTCCAGTCAGGCAGGAATTGAATTCTTGAGTCAGCAGGTCTCTGGTGAGTGTTTTCTTAGCAGATCAGACATTTAAGTTCATCATTACCCAAAAGAGGATTGGGAGAGGCTGTTACCTGAAAAATATTATCCTAGAGATATTGTAAAAGTGAGATTCTTTTCTCTCTGTGTTAATTCTTATTCCAATGTCCACTGCTCTTCATGTCTTTATGGATAATAGTTAGAAACTTAACTCCTTAGATGAGAATAATTTATTAATTCCCAAATACCACACTTTTCTATGGTGTGGGATAATTTCTGAATCTTCAGATGGAAGAGGAAGGGCATGGAGAGAGAAAAGTTTAGATCCCCTGGTTTGCCTCTAACCATTTTAAATTCCCCAAATTAATAATCTAAAATCCAAAATTATATCACAAATAGGAGCCATTTATGCAATTAATTTTAATTATTCAAAAGTTTAAAGTCCAAATGTTGAGAAAACATATTTACCCTGAAGACTATTTGTTCTGCTATTCCCACAAGGCCTCACAAGTGATCAGAGAAAAAACACAGCGATGAGGAAGATCCTGGGTGACTGAGTGCGCTCAGCAGGGTGCTGGCCTATAACTAAAGAATTTCACACAATCACGTATTCATACATAGCTTTTTGAATGAGATACTGACTTGATTTGATGGGAGAAAATGATCATCTTTCATAGTTATTGTCCAAAGAGAAATTTGAATGTTATCTGCTATCTCTTCACTTAGTTTGAGAAGTTAGTTTTCAACCCATTTACCTTGTCATTTGCAATTGTAAAATATTTGGGAAATGTCTGTAAAAAGTCAAAGCTAAAATGAAGTTACACACTTTTGGAATAGCACTTTACCCTAAATACTATTGCTTGAATCTCCAAGCCTAGAGATATTTGAATATATAAATGTCTTTAAATATTCTTATACATATTTTTTCATTGTGATGATCACAGTAACATTTTATGTGGTTCTGCGATATCATTTCTCTAAAGTACTGCAAGTATTTATGAAAAATGAGCACAGCGATCACAGCTTTTAAAGATTTGTATGAAAACATTTGAGATATTTGACTTTATACATGCATAAATTTGCATTTACTTTTCTTTCTGGAGCAGCATTTCTATAAAATCAGTAAGAAAAATATAGAACTTAGACTCTACTATTTTGTCATCTACACAAAATTTTCCACGTGCCTATACTGTTTACTTTAAAACTGAAGAATTCATGGGAATGATGTATTTTGTGGAATTGAGAACAAAATTGTAGTGGGATGATTCTACATCTTAAAAATTTCTTTATATCACTGTAAGCTCTACTTTGGAAATGACTGAATAGAAAAGCAGAAGAAATTATCTAACTTTTGTAAATACACTGTACCATCGGGCCCTTTGTTCAGATTGTAATTTCACTAATAGATCAGATATTTATGCTAATATTTTCTTATTTCAAAAGCAAAATAAAATGAGTTTATAGTCATATACCTGGGAAAACATTCTTCCCTTGAATAAGGGGTTTGGGTTGGATGGTGAGAGGGCCTGTCTGGATTGTGCTAAGATGTAGTCAGTGCTTTAAGGTGTGGTAAGTAATCAAATGATTTATAAAAACCAAAACTCTTCATTGAGTACTTTCTTTTTTTTTTTTTTTTGAGACAGAGTCTCATTATGTCACCATGGATAGAGTGCTGTGGTGTCACAGCTCACAGCAATCTCAAATTCTTGGGCTTAAGTGATTTTCTTGCCTCAGCCTACCAAGTAGCTGGGACCTAGATGTCTGCCACCATGCCTGGCTATTTTTTTGTTTCAGTTGTCATTGTTGTTTAGCTGTCTGGGGGAAGGACTCAAACCCACCAGTCTCAGTGCATGTGGCTGGTATCCTAACCACTGTGCTAGGGTACGCCGAGTCCACTGAGTACTTTCATTGTGCTCGCTACTATGCTAGGTACTTTGTACATGCCACCTCGTTTAATCTCCTTAATTAACCTATGTTTTCACATTTTTGTAGATGTGGAAACTGAGGTACCAGTGGTATGGCTCAGTGGCCAACGCACTCTAGTGCTTCTGTGAAATCCTGTAAAACTGGGATGCTGTCTGATGCTGAAGCCTGTGTCTTTCCCTTTGTGCCTACTCAGATCATCTTATGTGGGTTCAAGAAACCATTTGGAAACACACCCTCCCTTGGGCAGATAAAAATCCTTTGGATTATGCTTCAATCTTCTAATCGGTACAGAAGGAAAGATTCTAGATTGGAGGTTTCCAAGACTTTTCTCTAGAGTTGCTATCAAACCCACAACAACTAGCATGCATACCTTTGCCAGTGATGATGCAAATAACATTTATTTGACATTCACCTTCTTGGTCCTAATAGGTCAAAATTCAAAATTGTTTATTGAAATGAAATAGTGTGTGGCTTGGAGCCTGTAGCTCAGCTAGGGCGCTGGCCACATACACCAGGGCTGGTGGGTTGGAACCTTGCCCAGGCCTGCCAAACAACAACAACCACCACCACAACAACAAATAGCCAGACGTTGTGGCAGGCATCTGTAGTCCCAGTTATTTGGGAGGCTGAGGAAAGAGAAGTGCTTAAGCCCAAGAGTTTGAGGTTGCTGTGAGCTGTAATGTTACAGCACTCTACCAAGGGTGACATAGTGAGACTCTTAAAAAAAAAAGAAAAGGAAGAAATACTGTGAATTTAGGGTAGATATCTGAATTTCTTTTCTCATACTTCAAACTTTGAGTCTTTAATTTTTTTAATCTACTGAACAACAGATTTTTTTTTTTTTGAGACAGCCTCAAGCTGTCCCCCTAGGTAGAGTGCTGTGGCATCACAACTCACAGCAACCTCCAACTCCTGGGCTCAAGCGAGTTTCCTGCCTCTGCCTCCCAAGTAGCTGGGACCACAGGCACCCGCCACAATGCCTGGCTATTTTTTTTGGTTGCAGCCATCATTGTTGTTTGGTGAGCCCGAGGCTGGATTCGAATCTTCCACCTTAGGTGTATGTGGCTGGTGCCTTAGCCACTTGAGCCACAGGCGCTGAGCCTGAACAACAGATTTTAATACCCGTTTTCAGAGCAGCTAGTGATGACAGATGACTGAAATTTTGTCACATAGCACAGAATAGTGTTTGGTGAGGGAAGTGAAAAAATATTAAATAATGATAAAAGGATTGACATTTAAGACAAAACATCATGGAACTTTTCAAACATATACAAAAGTAGAAAGTATAGTGTAATGAACTTGATGTACCCATGCCCCAGTGTCTACAATTATCTACCCATTTATCCTTCCCCTTGAAGCAATTTGAAATTTGTTAACATTTTGACAGCACATGTTTTCCTATAGCTGCCAGGAAATAACTGAACTTGGGAAAAATAATTTGGTCAGGTTTGTAGAGGGCACAGGATTAGTACCACCTATTAATAAGCCATATGATCACTTACAAAGCTAATTGTTTTCCCTTTCTTACTATGTGGGTTTTGACTGCCTGAATTGCAGATTAAAACGTCTTTCTCCTCTCCCTAGTACTCTACAGATCTATCTACCTGAAGCCTGAGCAGTGTCGAATAAGTTAAAAAAGTGAAAAAGGCTTTTTCTCTCTTGACACAAGAAACTCAAGCCACTGAGAAGAGCTTTTGAGGTCTAGATGAAAGTGATCATTATTTTGCTCATCATCGTTTTTAATTGTTTAAGAGTCAGAAGTCTCTTTGAAGTGTCTAGGACCTAAAATTGGCTTAAAATTAAAAGAAAAGCACTTTATTTTTGAGATTTGAGTTGACATTAAAAAGCATTAGAATTAGCATTTTTAAAAGCAGTCCTTTTAAAGTTTTTTCATAAACAAATTTCTTTAGTGATGGGAATTTAGGCCTTTGCCCATTGACAGATATAATGATGGAAGAGTTAGCGGTCCAGAGCCCAGGAAAGATGAAGAGTATATTGCTTTCCGCTTCCTGTACGCTGCT